GGGGAAGAGGCCTTTGTCCTTAATAATGTTGAGGGCATGTGGCCTAGCATGGTTCAGGAGGGGGGGATCTCATGCATTTATTTTGTTTTTTTGGGTGCAGTACACCCTTAACATACATTCCAGACTCATTTTTGTGAGGGGTGGGCTCTAGGCATATTTTTTTTTTATTCTTGCTGTATGATATGTTACAGTAAAAGTGACATTTGAAAAAGAAACAATTACACAGTTTAAATGGACAGTAAATAAAACTTTATTGCCAACGTCTTTTTAAAAAGAAAATACAAAGCACATATGCCTGCATAGGTCCCTTGCTAGTTTGTATTATGGGGGACCTTTGAGGGCTGTGTGACATTTAATCTTTTAAAAAAATGAAGTCAGGAGGGAGATGTTATTTGCTGACAATTTTCAAATTGTTTTTGCATTGGTACATGTTCCCCAGGGCAGGGCCAACCTTTCTTGCCTATTAGTCCAGAAAATGGACATTTATAGCTTGACAGATTCAGCTCCTATTGATTTTAATGGGTTTCAGGTTAGGCCTACAAATTTCTTTGAAGTTCACTGAATCCTGCCCAAACTGAAACCAGGGCAGTTTGGCTCACTGCAAGTTGTCAGGCTGCAGCAGGAAGTGTTGTCACTGGCAGACTCTCCAGGCAACAAATTATGCAACAGGTTCACAAAAAGAAAACCGTACACAGTGAGGTATGAATGCCAAACTACTCAAAAAATAGATTTGGGATTTATATACACTTACATGCCTTAGTAGTGTGGGAGGAAACTAGAGTACCTGGTGAAAACCCATGCAAACACAGGAAGAACATGCAAATTCCACACAGATTGTGACCTGCCCATATATGAACCAATGACCCAAGGTTTGCAAGGCAGAAGCACTAATCACTAAACCACTGTGCTGCTACTATTCCATTTCCATAATTAATTTAATAAACAGCCATATTTGTCAGATTTTACATCATTTGATTAATGATATTAAAAAATATAAGTTACTGACTGATTCGTTTTCATTGTGTACCCACCTACTGTGGAGCCTTACTCATCCTGCATAATGTAAAATAAAAATCCAGCTGAGAGAGAGAAAAACAATCATAAAAAGGGAGCTAATGTACAGTTTTGTTGTAGTACAAAAAAATGTTGTGCAAGATTAAAAAAAAAAAAAACACAAGCAAACGGGGTAGCTTGACTGATTAAGAACCACTGATACAAGGCTGTAAACTCTTTACCTGGGACCCACTGATGGCTAGATGCCTAGGCCAAGTCAACAAAGTTTGTATAGGCTAGTTATCTTTGCTATAACCTTATGACTCATTTGCCTTAAAACTGTTTTACATTGTTTTCAAAGCAGAGTTCCAGTCTCCCTCCAAAAAATTGGGTCAGCAACCACACATACTGTAGCTGCTGACTTTTACTATAAGGACACTTACCTGTCCAGGGATCTGGCGATGTCCTCACCCAAGTCGATTCTTTAATTGGCTTTGGGTGCAGGCACTGGCATCTTAGATAAGGGAAACTGGCACTGAAACCTTCCCCCCAAAAAGTGCCAAATGTGGCATTGCAGGGGAGGATGCAAACAAGTGGAAGTTCCACTTTAAGAACATGTATTGTGAAGTATTTGTAGTGCACCCCTGTACCTTTAAGGAGGGGTGGGCTCCCTCAGGCTCACCTGCCCTCAGTATATCCATTTATACATGTGCTTCTACTATGAAGGCTCTCAAAATGTATAGAGTTAGGAATTGGAGAATATCAAGGGGCCGTGAAGAGGCTCTGCAGCTAACGCATGTATTTGCAAATGTGTTCTAACTAAATCCCTGTTTTTAATACAAACTATTAGACAGGACAATTTGGTTTGTTCGCAAGCAGGTCAGTAAGTTGAGCTGGAAATTTTATCTCATTTATTTTGTTGATATGCGTCGTCTTTCCATGTGCTCCTTGAAGGCCAGTCATAGATTGGGGCAGTGGCCATTTTTTTATATTTAAGAACATGTATGGCTTTTGTTTTATACATTGTTTTAAAAAATATCATTTTCCAATGTTTTATTATAAGCTGGTAAATAAAGAAAAAATGTAAAAAATGAAGCCTATAATAATCTTTTAAAGGCTAATAATCTTTCTAAAGCTTAGTCCATTAGTCCATTTACATAATAATGTTTTACCTTGCCCTGTCTGCTTTTATTATCCTCATTTTTCATCACCTTGCCTCTTGTTTGTTTTCTCCCCTCCCCCCTTCCTCATGCCTGCCCACCTCATCCATATTCATCCATAGGTCCCCACTATTTGCCTGTCAATTTTATTCAAAACCTAACAAATATAACGTTTTTTACATAAGTCTTGCTATGTACATTCACACCAGTCCCTGGCCTCAAGGGGCGTACAGTCTAAGGTCCCTAACTTACAATTATACACATACTAGGGCCAATTTAGACAGGAGCCAATTCACCTACCAGCATGTCTTGTTGAGAGTGGGAGGAAACTGGAGTAGAAACAGAAGAAACCCACGCAAGAACAGGGAGAACATTCAAACTCCAGGCAGGTGGTGCAGTGGTTTGGATATGAACCAACAACCCTAGTACTGCCAGGTGGAAGTACTAACCATTTAGCCACTGTGCTGCCCACATATGTAACTCAGACCAGACAATTCACTAATCTAGTAATTCCATTTACTGAATACAGTTGTAATTACAGTTCTTCAACATTTTCATAGCAGTAAATTCAGTGCAACACCCAGACATGACTTTACTTTGTCATCCTTCTCCCATTATAATGCTATACAGAGCTTTGGCTCTGCTATACTGGCTGTGTGGTGCTCTCCATACCTTGTGAGAACTTAAGTCCATCTCTGAAAAGTAACTTCAACAGTTTGGTTCACAGTACCCATCCTGGGGTCTCAGTAAGGGGAACTCCTCCACTACTCTAGCTCATTTTCTGGCACAACCCATCACCACTGTTCTCCTCCTATACACAAAAAGACCACATGGTTCAATCTTCCCTGAATTTATCATCTCACCTGAGTGTTAACCCCTACAGCACCAAGTATTAATCATTTATTAACAAAAGAATATTTAAACCTTGTAGGCACCAGCCTACAGAGCTAGTTCAGCATGAGAATGTTAATTTATGTATTCTCAGTATGGGATACAGAAGGTGCTATCTGAAGGCCACACAAAGTTTGGAGGTCTTTAGCTGTTGGCCCTGCAAAGAGAAGGAAGATTGCTAATATATGGAATTTAGAACTGTTGAAGAGTTGTGTAAAATACAAGACTGGAAGTACAGAGTTATGAATCCTTTGAGTGATAAAGCAGAGGTAAACATTTACATTTCAATTAGTATAGAGTTGTTTGCTTGGAAAACCACTTTAAAGAGCTGCAGACATCACGCAGAAAAATAGCACCAGAACAAGTACAGGATTTCTATAAATAAGCAAGCATCTCAATTTGCATACTACGTAGATGCTAATCATTCAGTTATATGAATAATATAGTGGCATAAATTACTTGTGGAGAAGTTTTCAAGATCTTCTGTTAGACAGCCATAATGAAATAGGAGTATACTCCAGTATCTTCCTTAAAACTAGAGGGGGGGAAATTGTCTGCATTGTCTATAGCAACCAAACCAGCGATTATCATTGTAATACAATATAGAATTATAACCTAAGCATAGAAGATGGAATTTGAGATTAATCAACCATAAACAAAAAAGGTGCCCTGAGGGCATCAGCCCAGCACTAATTATAATAGCTGTAGGAACAAAATATGACTTTAAACAGAATCCCCAAGAGACCAATTTCATAGAATACGTGCAAGTATGCACATAAATAAAATCACAAATTTATAAACAGGTGAAGAATACTTCATACATATCCTTAAACAAGTTGCACATAGAAGATTATAAATAAGGCACCCTAACAAACTAAGTCCTTTGTATACATCCTATTGTCCCCCCCATCCCTCAGGTGGGAAGAGGCTAACTACTCTCATGTACTGTGTGTTGGTCTGTCTGTTTCCCAGTTAGACAAGTACAGTTGTACAGGTTGTGTGGGTATTCATATAGTTGTTTTTCCTCTGGGTGGTATAGACAGTGAGTGCTTTCATAATTGTTATGTATTTACTGTACATATTTTTTAATTATTTTTATCTTTTAATATGGAAAAATAAGGTTTTTGTACATATTGTTCTATATTGAAATGTTCATGGACATTTGTTCTACCTTTAGATTTGCATCATAGATTTGCATTACAACAGCTTTGAAGACTGGTGTCTATGTCCTGATAAAGAGGTCTCTGCAAAATGAGCTGAAAAAATAACAATGTGTTAGGGTGTCTTATTTATAATCTCCCAGATGCAATTTGTTTTAAGATATGTTTGAGGTGTTCCTCACCTCTTTTTAAAGTTTGTACAATACATTTCTGATTTTATTCATGTGCATACTTGCATGTACATGTATTCTATGATACAATATATTGCCAAAAGTATTGGGACACTAGCATTTACACTCACATGAACTTTAATGACATCCCAATCTTAGTCCGTAGGGTTCAATATTGAGTTGGCCCACCCTTTGCAGTGATAACAGCTTAAACTCTTTTGGGAAGGCTGTCTACAAGATTTAGGAGTGTGTGAATATTTGACCATTCTTCCAGAAGCACATTTGTGAGGTCATGTACTCATGTTGGACGAGAAGGCCTGGCTCGCAGTCTCCTCCCTAATTCATCCCAAAGGTGTTCTATCGAGTTGAGGTCAGGACTCTATGAAGGCTAGTCAAGTTCCTCCACCCCAAACCCACTCATCCATGTCTTTATGGGACCTTGCTTTGTGCACTGGTGCACAGTCATGTTGGAGCAGGAAGGGGCCATCCCCAAACTTTTCCCACAAAGTTGGGAGCAAAAAATTGTCCAAAATGTCTTGGTATGCTGTAACCTTAAGAGTTCCCTTCACTGGAAGTAAGGGGCCAAGCCCAACCCCTGAAAAACAACCCCCAAACCGTAACCCCCCTTTACACCACTGCATCCGGTGCTTTGCATTGCACTTGGTGATGTAAGGCTTGGAAGCAGCTGCTCGGCCATGGAAACCCATTCCATGAAGCTCTCTATGTACTGTTATGCTAATCTGAAGGTCACACAAAGTTTGGAGGTCTTTAGCTATTGGCCCTGCAAACAGTTGGCGACTTCTGCACACTGTGCACTTCAGCATACGCTGACCCTGCTCTGTCAATTTATGTAGCCTACCACTTTGTGGCTGAGTTGCTGTTGTTCCCAGTTGCTTCCACTTTGTTAAATTACCACTAACAGTTGACCGTGGAATATTTGGTAGCAAGGAAATTTCACAGATGGACTTATTACACAGGTGGCAACCTATCACAGTACCACACTTGAATTCACTGAACTCCTGAGAGTGAACTATTCTTTCACAAATGTTTGTAGAAGTAGTCTGCTTGCCTAGATGCTTAATTTTATACAAATGTGGCCATGGAGGTTATTGGAACACCCGAATCCAATGACTTGCAGGGGTGTCCCAATTTTTTTGGCTATATAGTGTGTTGGTATCCTGGGGTTAAGGTTAAAGTCCCTTTTTGTTACTCTAGCTATTACAGTACAATATAGAACACGTCTTTTTTGACTGCAATGGACATAACTCCAACAAAACTCACCATTCACAATAAAAGTTGACTGTACAATCTCAGTACAATCAAGTTTAGATATACAAAGTTATGTAATATGAGGACCAACCTGAACAGTCCAATTAATCTGTATTCAACCAAGAAGACCCTTGCACTATATAGTTACAGTTGTTGGTAGATTTAAAGGAGATTTGTACACTCAGACTGTAGTGTGTATGGTGAGCCTAAGATCATATAGAGCAAGTGCCTCCAAACTTTTCAGTGCAAGGACCACATCATATATTACACAAATAGCTGCTGGTCCAAAAAAAAAGATCAGTTCTATAAACTTACTAATCAAATTCAAATGAATGAATATTTTTTATTTGAATTTTTTTCAATCAGCATATGATTTTTAAAAACATTTTTAAAAAATCAGTAAAACAAAGCAAAAGAAATCCAAATAAATTTGAGCTCATCCACGGCTCCCCTTACACCAGCGTCCCCATCACAGCCCTCATACATAAGAGTCCCCATCACAGCCCTCTTATATCAGAATCCCCATCAAAGTCCCCTTTATATCAGAGCGACCCTTACATTAGGGTCTCCATTAGAGCCTCAGATCCTCATCTGAGTCTCCTTTTACATCAGAGCGCCATATAAAATCAGTTTGGATACGCTTGATATAGAGGACACATTTTATTTACCTAGTACATTTGTTTTCATGCAGATGTTGCTATAAATATGCAAATTACCTGTTGCGGAAACCTTTATTTTTTCAGCAACCTAGTATACAGGGAACACCATATGCTTAGCCGTGTGGATGACAAAATAGAATCATGTGCCTAGAGGCTGCAGTGCTACCCAGAAGACCTGTGACTGTCATGTACCTGGATAGTGAGCCTGACGTGAAGAGGCAGGCCTCCTGTACAGCTCTGGCTCAAGGGCTACTGATAGTGGGACAGCCTCAGGAGCACAGCGAGGTATGAGTGCCTGTGATCAGTCAAGTAGTCTGTGTTTCAGCAGTAGCCAGTAAGCAGGCGAAGCAGCAGGACAGACTGAGAGCAGGATCCGGATGCTGTCAAGCTGGATGTATGAATCGTTGGGGAGCAAGGTGGGGGATGCAAGGTCAGACGAGCCAGGTCGGTAGCAGTCGGGCAGATCAGGCATAGACAGCAGGAGGTAGCATAGTCAGGTCACAGGCCAGGTCATCAGCAGAGGTTCAATCAGACAAGAGCAGGAGGCAGAAGAGTAATCCAAGACAAGCCAGAGGTCAGGGCAGGTAGCAGACAAGCGGGGGTCAGGAACAAGCTGGTTCAGTATCAGGAGTCAGGCACAAGGATCAGGATACACATTCAAGAGCTAAAGACCAAACTGTGAAGAGACATTAATGCAGCCAGTTTAAATAGCCCTTTTGGCGCCAGTATTAGTGACAGACGTGTGCCTGGATGCGCGAGTGCGCATGCGTGTGCACAACTGTGTGCGCCTATGCCCAAATACATGCACATCTGACCGGCCCGTCATTGTTCTGCACATGCACATATTTGTGCACCACGAATCTTCACCTGCATTATGGGCAAGCCTTTCCTGACAGTGACCATTCAGATGAATCCAATCTGTATTTGGATTGTGTAAAGTTTATATTAAGATAAATAATATGAACTTTCTGACTTTAGTACAGCTGATTTGATTCATGTGTAGTTTTAGCAGTTCACTTATTATTCAAAATGTATCTGTAGGTCTATATTTTTTTAATTTTGGGTAACATAGGTAATGGTTATAGCTGAACTCCAGCTATACTGAAAATTCCCCCCTCCAATCCCATTCCCCCCAGTGCAAGAACAATTGCTCATTTAGTCTAGGCATGAAGAATAAGGTGAATGCTTCTTTCAGCTTATGCTCAGTACTGCAGTTTTTCCTCTGCATGCATACAATTCACTAGAACTTTAAGCCCTGGTTCACAATGATGTTTGTCAGAATTTGCAGCATTTTCTGTGCAAATTCTGCACAGCATCAGAATTGCACCCCATTCATGCGAACCGCTGCGGGTGGGTATGTTAACAACACCCTGAAATCGGTCCGTTAAACGTGGTGTTATGTGCAGAATCGAATCGCATAGGTGTAAATACCCATACGATCCAATTCTAGTGCGGACCAAAAAGAGGTCCTGCACGTTTTTGGTGTGGATGCGGTGCAATTAGAGCCATACAAAATGTATCGCTGCAATCGCACCGCACACAAATAGCATGTGATTTGCACAGGAATGCAGTGCGGTTCCTGTGCGAATCACATGCAATATACCACACTGCATATATGTGAACCCAGGCTTAGTGTAGCTTAAGTTTATTGGCTTTAATTTATGACTTTATGTTTAATGTGTAATGTGATAATGCGATGCTAGAGCAAAAAACAAGCTGTAATTTTAGATTGCTATGGATATCAACATATGTTTTGTTTCCATCCTATATGTTAATCCAGTCCTATGGTATAAATGTAGTTGTACAATAACAGCAGATTTGGTGGATAAACCATAGTCCTTGCTATTGTGTGTACAGAGGTGTATGGTTTCTTTATTGGTTTACGTTTGATGTTTTTTTTCACTTTTTTTTTTTTTCCAAAAACTATTTTTATTGAGAAAAGAAGCACAATGATAACATATACAGATTATATTCAGATCATGGATAGTATCTGCAAATGCAAGTGTCCCCTGTCAAGACATACATCTGAAGTATACATGGTTTCATTGCATAACAATGCTGAAAACTAGAGATGAGCGAATTATTCAAAAATTCGATTCGGCTGATTCGCCGAATTTGCGGGAGAAATTCGATTCGATGCAAATTTATTCGCTGCGAATTTAACTTATTAAAAGGGTTTCTAGGCTTCAGAGAGCATGAGAAGAATGAAAAGAAGAATGAAAAGAAGAAGAAGAAGAATGAAAAGAAGAAGAAGAATGAAAAGAAGGATGAAAAGAAGAAGAAGAAGAATGAAAAGAAGGATGAAAAGAAGAAGAAGAATGAAAAGAAGAAGAAGAAGAATGAAAAGAAGAAGAAGAAGAATGAAAAGAAGACTGAGAAGAAGAATGAAAAGAAGAATGAAAAGAAGAATGAAAAGAAGAATGAGAAGAATGAAAAGAAGAAGAAGAAGAAGAAGAATGAAAAGAAGAAGAAGAAGAATGAAAAGAAGAATGAGAAGAAGAATGAAAAGAAGAAGAAGAAGAAGAATGAAAAGAAGAAGAAGAAGAATGAAAAGAAGAATGAAAAGAAGAAGAAGAATGAAAAGAAGAATGAAAAGAAGAAGAAGAATGAAAAGAAGAAGAAGAATGAAAAGAAGAATTAAAAGAAGAAGAAGAAGAAGAATGAAAAGAAGAATGAGAAGAAGAATGAAAAGAAGAATGAAAAGAAGAATGAGAAGAAGAATGAGAAGAAGAATGAGAAGAAGAATGAAAAGAAGAATGAAAAGAAGAATGAAAAGAAGAATGAAAAGAAGAAGAAGAATGAAAAGAAGAATGAAAAGAAGAAGAAGAAGAATGAAAAGAAGAATGAAAAGAAGAAGAAGAAGAAGAATGAAAAGAAGAAGAAGAAGAATGAAAAGAAGAAGAATGAAAAGAAGAAGAAGAAGAATGAAAAGAAGAATGAGAAGAAGAATGAAAAGAAGAATGAAAAGAAGAATGAAAAGAAGAAGAAGAAGAAGAATGAAAAGAAGAAAGACTGAAAAGAAGAATGAAAAGAAGAAGAAGAAGAATGAAAAGAAGAATGAAAATAGGAAGAATGAAAAGAAGAAGAATGAAAAGAAGAAGAAGAAGAATGAAAAGAAGAAGAAGAATGAAAAGAAGAAGAATGAAAAGAAGAATGAGAAGAAGAATGAAAAGAAGAATGAAAAGATGAAAAGAAGAAGAAGAAGAATGAAAAGAAGAAGAATGAAAAGAAGAAGAAAAAGAATGAAAAGTAGAATGAAAAAGAAGAAGAAGAAGAAAGAAAAAAGAAGAAGAAGAAGAATGAAAAGAAGAAGAAGAATGAAAAGAAGAAGAATTCCAGTACAGCAAAAAGTGTATCTGCAGAGAGCTCCGCTATTTCTGACAGTTCTCTGACAGTTCCTTCACATTTACAGCGGTTGAAACATTGTATCTATTTGTTTCCGAATAAAAAACATCTGTATCCTAAATGGAAACAAATAGATACAATGTTTCAACCGCTGTAAATGTGAAGGAACTGTCAGAGAACTGTCAGAAATAGCGGAGCTCTCTGCAGTGACACTTTTTGCCGGCTGATCGGGGAAAATTCGATTCGTGCATCCGAAGTTTGCTAAAATTCGGATTCGGTGCGAATCGAATTTTTCCTAATATTCGAAACGAATTCCACTTCGCCAAGTTCGATTCGCTCATCTCTACTGAAAACAATAACAAACTTTAGTTCCTTTAATTACAGAATGGAATTAGTAAATCATCATATAGTCCCTTTAATTACAGAATGTAATGTATGGTGGAAGGGTGGTTATATTGGAAGGTTATTGGATGTCCACCCCTGGGGTAGAAGCTTATGAATTTCATTTGTACCTGTGGGTCTTCTGGTAATCAAAGTTCACCTAAACACAAAGAAGTGGGAAGGGAATGGAAAGGATGCAGGATAGGAGGGGAGAGGAAAAAGAGGAGGAGAGGATTGGAAGAGAGAATAAAAAAAAAGGGGGGGGGGAGGGATTATGGTAATCAGAGTAGCAGTCATATGCCCTGTATGTCAATCTTGGTTGACATGTGTTGTATTCCGTGATATATGTCAGTCTCAGCAGTATATGGGTGTCAGGGCAGGAACGCTGGAATGGGCAGGCAGGCCTATGGTAC